TATTATATACTAATATATAATTATTATACAATAATATAATAAGATATTATATATTATAATAATTATTACATATATTATAAAATTTTATATTACATATAAAAATGCTAAGCATTTTAACTGCAGTACAAATTAAAAGGGTACTGCTGGGAAAGATCACAATTTCTCTAATTATTTAAAATCATAGCTTGAAAGCATAAGGCTTTGCTAGGTGCACTGTTAAAAATATTCATAATTAAAGACAACTGCATAAGAATACCCCATGTTCCTGAAGCTTCATCATGCCTGAATGGACTTAGGGACAATTAGAAACTTGCCCATTTATAGAAAAGACAGGTAGGTTTTATCAAATAAGCAAATAGAAGGGACAGACAAGCCATTGGACAGCTCAGGAATACTTCTGGGAACAAAACAAAATCCAACCCAGAGCTGACATCCAGAGAATACAAGCTGCAGTTCAGGCTTAATTAAAGGAGAGCTGTGGTTGCAGAGCTCAGGTTAAGAGTTGAAAATGCCCTCCTGTCCATCACAGAAGTTCTTTCTGCACGTGCTGGCTCTGGGAAGTTTGCCCAGGCTGCAGCTCTCACAGAGGAGATTTCATCCTCAGCACTGTCCATGGGACAGCTTTTACAGGCACCAAGCAAACTGAAAACATGCTGTAAATATCAAACACCCTGCAAAGAGCCAGAGGAAGGAATTACATTATTACACAATACCCAGGTCACTGTGCACTGACAGGTGCTTCTTTTTCTTACATAAATTAGACAGCTTTATGTAAGCCTTCTTTTTTCAACTTGATTTTCAAAAGAGATTTCATATAAAATTCAAGCTTCCCAGCATTGGAAGAAGGTTTCCAACTCACAGTGTGTAGCCTTTTCATGCAGCAGACTGTTGCAAAGAGCTCCAGTGGCCTTCAGTGCCAGACTTCTCAGTTTGTTCACAGTGTGCAAGCCCAAAGCCATTAAGTGCTTCCTTTCTGTGTCTATGACTGAATCCCATGCAAGGATTGTAGGCAACATAAGTTACACACTGTGTGTAGGAGAAGTTAAACTTCCCAAAATGCTGTACAAGACTGTAGCTCAGTATCTTCAATGCAAATAATATCCAGTTAATGCTGCAGGCTATTTTCTACCCATATCTAAAAGGGACCCACTCAGCAGATATATTTGAAGATGCATTCCCCTAATAATACCTAAACTCTTCCCTGTGTGATTTAACAATGGGGACATTTCTAGCCACTGTGTTTCTGGGCTTAACTTTGCCAAAATCAGTGTATCTGATTTTTAGACAACAGCAGCTCAGCAATTTGATTGCAGTGGATGCTTCTATGGGAGACTGCTTTATGAAGATTTCAGAAGGAAGCTCATGAATTCAACTTGTATTTTCATGCTCCTCAGCAGGAAGGAAAACACGCTGTTTCCTCTTCACTTTGACAGCTGAGTGCAAAATCCTCAATTACCCTGTGCACAGTCACCATAAGAAATTGCAGAATTTTCCCCAGTGGCCATGTCCCTTTAGACAGGTCAACTCTTTACCTGCCTTGGCACATCATGAACTGCCATGGATCCCTCCTCACCCCCAAACTAATGCTTTGGAAGAAAAATATTTATCTGTATTCTGAAAAGCAATTACCCTGGAAGTTTCCTTTATCTTCACAACAGGATTTTACAAAAGACTCCATGCTTGTGGTGTTACCGATGACAATTGTCACAAAAACTCCAAGACATTCTTTTTCTGCAAGCTCCAAGCTTCCCAGATTCATGGGGTTTTTCACTAATATTTAGCAAAACTGAAAAAAATCTCCAAGTTTCTAATACACAAGGTAACAATAAAACATGAAGTAATTCCAAGAGACACAAAACCAACCACTTCCCACCGACACGAGGGTGCAGGTTTGCCTGCTGCAGGCTTAGCCCAGCACCTGAGAGAACTCTCAGGGCAAGCTCTGACACAGTGGCTGAGGCCAGCACAGGGCAAGGTTCACCTCACACAGGTGAGGGCAGAGGTAAAAACTGCCACAGCTGCACTGATCACCCAGTCCCTCTTGCACAGAGCCCCTTTCCCTCTGCCAGGTACAACCACCCATGCTCCTGCACCAGCCAGCCTTGGAGGCTCCATAGCATCCCATCACACAGCGTGTAACAGGCACAAAGCCACAGCTTTGGAAGAGAGCAACAACCACCTCTGTAACCCAAAGACAATAACAAACTCCACTGCTCCCAGGGAATGAAAAGCTGAGCTAAAATTTATCTCTGGGCTAAGTGCTGCTAAAGCTGTCCCATTTGGCTCCTGCTATTTTTGTGAAATGGAGGATGGGAAGAGCAAAATGGAAAGAGCCACAATCTCATTAATGGAGATAACTTCTGAAATCATGAGAAAAGGAGTCACAAACAGTCACAGCTGCTTCAGATGTAACGTATAAACATTTAAGTTGCTGAAAACAGCTTTAATTCTCTTTTTGTTTGCTTCATCCCAGAGTTTGCTCAGCTTCTCTTTGTGTGATAGTGCAGGCAAACATGCCTGAGCCCTCCAAAACAATCCTGATATGACCTTATCAAACACCTCAAGGATGCTCAGGGGTATCTGGTTTTGGCATTAGCCCACAGTGAGGTTTAGAGATGGGAAATGGGAGGCTTATTTTTAAAATGGTGTTTTTTTCCAATTAAGAGCAAGTTTCTGGGTTTTACCCTACATGAGAATCATCTGCAACTCATTGCAAATAAATTTGCCACATCCCATTCCTTTGAACATAAGCGATTAAGTAGTTGTTAATCTGCTGCACCACATTTATAAATTATATGATTCATGCTTTTTACACACCATTTAACATGAGCAAAGCTAAAGAGCAGTTGTTTGTGAGCTATATAATCACACTTGGGGGAAAGAAAATCAAACCAGGAATAGGAACTTATCTGACTCTATCAAGTTGTGGCACACTGTCCCAGCACAGGTAGGAACAAGTGAATCACACTGATGCCCACTGTACTGCTATTTGATTAGCACAAGTCGTGTGATTTGGCAGGTCAAATCTAAACAAACTGCTTTGATAAGCCTCTAAAAGAGAGAACATGAGGGAATTGTACATCTTTTCCTTGGAAAAATATCAGGGAGAATACTTGCTTAGCTCTCAAGTCAATACTTTCCTCTGTCCATTTGCACACAAATCAAAATTTATCTTTATATGGGAGTTCAAAGAGATCTGCTGAAGCTGAGCACATTGGAGGAGTACCCACTCTCTCTTCAGGTCACTTGCAGCCATACTTGTAAATTTTCAACAGCTGTATGGCTGATTGAAAGACCAGGGAAAAGAGGGGAAATTATATGAAAAATTCATGAGAAGGCCTCCAGAACACAGCATGGGTTTGAAATGTCAACATTCAAAATACCAACCAAACCAAGGCGAGACAGGAAACCAGAAGGCAGTGGAGAAAAACTCTCAAATGAGCTGATTCATGCCAAGATTGTGCAGGAAACCACTCAGCAGAGAAGCTGCTCAGCACTCTACTCAAGTGAATACAGTGCAGTGCTCTGCTCCCATCTGCCCCCAAAGAAAAAGGAGGAGGATAAAGCACACAGGAAATTTCTGCAAATTTGGAAATTCTTTACTAGCCATAGGAGCTAACATCCTGTTCAAGGCTGTAAAATGTTAAAGCTGCTGATGTTATTCTTCTCAAAGTGCTTTTTCACAGCAGAGAAAACAGAGACACTTGCAGCTAAGACTGCTAATTTCTTAGTCAGGATGTAAACCATCAACTTCCACTGTTAACTTGAATGCTTTTGGCCACTTCAGGTAAAGAGAAATACATCCCTAGAAATCAAAGTCACACCCTTCAGCTGAGAAGGGTCTCACAGAGAAAGAGTCTATTCCCCACCCACTCCAGGATACCTTCTGGTCTCAGCTCCTGCATGTGAGCAGCCCTCAGTCTACCACACTTTGGGACATAAGTGCATTGCCTATAGGAAGTTTTGACTTTCCTCATCTATTTCAATGTCAGAAGAAATCAGCTTTTCTGATTTTTTTTTCTCTTACTCATACTCACATGTGCACTCTCCCCTAGCACCTTCACTAACACAAACTCCTGTTCTTACACTATTTTAAGTCAGTAATAAAGTAAGTCTTCATTATTACTGCATATTTCTAGGTCTACATCATGCATAGATCAGTACTTTATTACATACACTGTGTTTTGATACCACTTTATAATGCCATTGTGTTTAACAAACTCTGTGTGATCCTTCCTTGCCAGATTTGACTCACAAGGACTTGGCTCTGAAGTGAGGTCCATAAAATAGATGTAGTAGGCTTGTTGAAACAAATAACAAAACAGCCAAAGCTTTCCCCAGAGAAAGGCCAGCAGAAGACAAAGGTAGAAATATTTATGCAGTCACTCAGGGGCATTGGAAATGTGTTCTGAATAAACACTCATCTTCAGTATGCAAGTTCTATAGCCCTTGCTGTCTCCCAAAGATCAGGGAGAATGGAAATCAATGATGCTGCCTTGTTAGAAAACACAAATCAAAGCATCAGTGACTTTGTAAAATCCCTTCTGTCACTTTGACCTTCTGGTGCCAGGCAGCTCCACAGATTCATTACCATTCATTGGAATGTCTAAAGAAAAAATCAGCAGCACAAGTGTTTGAGAGTAACACCAGCAGCAGGAATTGGAAAAATACTGGGAAGCAGAAAACAACAAAAAGAAATAACACCATGAAAGGATTCTCACTCTGCCTGGAGGACTGAGTCCTCTCTTCCAACACATACAAGTAAATTCTGCTCTCGTCCAGCTTCACGCCAGGTCCTTCCTCACCATCTGCTGCTTCCTGCCAGGAATCTGCTTCTTTCCTTGCCCAGCCAGACGTGTCAGGAGCTACTGCTACACCTGCACCCTCTCCAGGGACACCAACAGGGGTAAACACCATAGATATGGTGGGCAACACCAGCCCAGCCCTCTCTTTCAGAGAATCTCTTGTCAGAAAGAAGTGGGATGGGGGATAGTACTAACCTGAGTCTCCAAGCTGGTGTAGGGACTAGGAGGTTCAATCTACAAAGAGAGCAGATAGAAACAGCCATTACTCTGGAATAGTGGAAAAGAAGGTGTTCTGAGCTGTTATTGGTCTAAAGTAGTGACAGAAGGAACAAACACACCTGCTTGAACAAGGATGGCAGGATTATTTTCTCTAAGATTTACCATTTTTCCAGAAATCTGGAAATCACACAGAGCTTACAGAATCTCTATAATGTTTGGATGAGGAAAAAAAGTTGCAGTAACAGGAATATACAGGTCCCTCACATCTTTGATTTGATACTCTTTTACAACTCTTAGATTACAGCTGACTGGTTTTAGATCAGATTTGAATGGTGCTCCTGTAATTTCAAGGCATTAAGACCTTTTCATTAAGTTGATGGTGAAAGGGTTGGCCACATCCTTGGCAAAACTTTTCTTCTCAACAGCTGCAGTTAGCTGTGGTCATTTTGTTTTCCATTACATTTCTTCCTAATGAATGCTTCTCTCCAATTCTACACATTATAATGCAAGTGCATTGTACTTTTTCTGCAGTCTGGCATCTTTCTTGGTGTCAAAATATGAACCTTAGCTTAGCTTGGCCAGAGAATTCAAACCTCATTAAAGAACTTCTAAACACAAAAGCACAAAATCGTCTATTTAGTCTGTTAATTAAAAGGTTAGCAAGAGATAACATCCCTGTAGGAAACTTCATCATTAGTGTTCTGGGATTAGCACTCAAGCAAAATCTTTAAAAGCACATCTTTTAAAGTATAGTGAACATTTAAAACCTCAGTCCTGCTGGTCCAGGTATTACTCTGCAAGGTCTTGCTCTCCACATCCTGTTTAATTGGAAAGCCTAACAGAGTGGAACCAGGTCAACGGTGCTCTCTCTTAAATCCATCACATCTGTCTCAATTAGACACTTTTAGTTTAGAACATTCTTGTCTATCAGATTATTGGGCTCCTGAGACTAATTTTGAGTTTTGAGCCATTGCAATTCTCACTTTGGCTAAATCACAGAACAGAGTAAAAAAACAGTGAGCTTCCTCCAAGAAACTATATATTCCTTTTACTTTTAATTACACCTATAAAGCAGCTTTTGTTTTAACAATCACCATAAACATACTAAAGAAGAAACAGGCTATCAACCCAGGAAAAAATGGTTAAGGAGGAAATTGGCCTTGAAAGCCTTGACACACCTTTCCTCCACTCAGCAAGTCATGGGTCAGACAGCACAGTGTGCACAGGTGAAAAAGCCTATGACTACCTCTGTCATACTGCTAACTTAGGCTGATGAAAGGTTACATTTAACACCAGAGCACCATTATGACACAGATGTAGTAGATGTTACCTGACAACTGGCCAAATGACACCAAGACTGGAAGGAAACTGAGAAACCTCAATGAAATCCAAATATCATGTCATCATCTAAGCTAGAGGAGGAAAAAAATCATCTGAAGATGAGAGATGAGGTGAGAGGACTCTTGTCCTTGAACTGCCTTACTCTAAAACAAATGATGGCAACGCTCACAGCATTTCTCATGTAGACTTAGCTGGGATAAACTCATCCATTTTGCAGCTGGACTCTAAAGCAACACTAGTTTGGTCACAGCATTGTCCCCCATTGTCCCACTCACACTTATATCTTAGCAGGAGGATCACAACACTAGCAGGTGTGTGGGGCAGATAGAATACAAAGTGTGTTTAAATACAAAAAGCAAAGTACTGCTGTAACAAAGAACAGCTCAGCTGCACAGGCTCCCCTTTGGGAGATCATCTGGATTTTCTCAGTCGGTGCCAATTTGACTACAGACAAAAGCTTTTTCAACATGTACTGTTCACTTCCAAATGACAGTATTTCCGTAAGAGGAAGCAGCTACTGTATGTATAAAACATCCTGGAAAGATCAGGGGATTCCTGTAATAGATAAGGCTTCAGACTACTTAAAAGCTAGACAAACTCAGTCCAATATTTCCTGACTAGAATGAATTTCTTATATTAATTACTAATTTCCAAAGCTTCCTGGACCAATGAAAGCTGTAAACATAAACCAGGTTTGGAATGACATTATTTCACCATGCATCAGCGTGGGCCTGTGATCTACAGTTTTTCCTGTTTATTTCCCCCCTAATTTTGGCTGTGGTGGGTTCACTTGTCCCCATTGTGCAGCACTGCAAGGGGGACTGTTTTGCCCCATCATTAGAACATACAGCACTCAAATCTCACATTCACTTACAAATTAGCTGAGAAAATAACAAAGCTTGGCTTTTATGGGTTAAGTGTGAACAATCCAGGTTAGCTCCTTCCCCACTCACACTTTTTTGCACAATTGCTACAGACAGTGATAGGGAAAACCCCAAACCTTCCTCCCAACTGCAGTTCACACAGTACAGCATTGCTGCCTCTCAGGAGTGCAGTGCCTGCACTCCACTGCCTGTGACACAGAGATGTGGCTGGGCTGTCTCTGGATGCCACCTGTGCCTTGCACAGAGGTGTTTTCTTTCACCCTGTTCCCAGCTGCCCACTCTACTCTCCTGTTTCTCACGTGCAGTTGCAGGTACCACACTCAGGACAGCTCTTGGAGCCAACCTGAGGGTCCCCAAAACACAACTGCAGAGAATACATCCCAATTCTCCTCCTTAAGCAAGGAAATAAGAAAGCTGAGGAGGGCAAAGAAGGTGGGAGGACATAAATACAGTCAAATTTGATTCAACAGCAAAAAATAGTTTTAAAATTCAAGCTCAAAGTTAGAAAGTTTCACTCTTACTGCAGGAAAAGGCAGGTTAATCACCTGCCTATCACTAATGCCAAATAAATGTCATATTTTGGTAAATATCAGAGCTATCCTCCAGCTCCTGTGCATGGCCTGATGCATGGTTATGGATGACAACCTGCACAGGAATTGCCCACATGAGAGGGAGGAGGGTACAGACTTTTTTTTTAAAGGTACAACCTCTCCTCTGTGCTTTGTCCAACCTGCCTGCCACAGTTGATTATTAGCTGCTACCGAAAGGTAAGAGAAAATTATCACACAGAAACACTCAGCAAAAACAGCAGAATTACTGGCACCATTCCAAGCAAAGTTTTGGTTGGTCTGTGTATGTTCCACTTTAATTCTAGCAGGTTTCAGCAGCCTGACACAGAACCACAAGAGTTGTGATAACTAAACCCCAGGGACGTCAGCAATCATCACATCTGAAATTTCAGACTGCCATTTTTCAAGTGCTATGAATCATTAATCTCCAGTGTTTGTGATCAAATGAAATCTGTAGTGGGATTGGAGTGTAAACACTACAACAGTGCTGTATAAACACAGCCTGACACATTGATCACCTTTAAGGACTGATCAGGGTAAGACTCTGTTTATTATTGAAAGGTGACACTGAGAACAGCAACTCTGCTCTGAGGTTTGGCCACTGTGCTTTTCATAATGGGTTAATGTCTCACTCCCATAAAGGAAATAGACATGTTTCCAAATAGTTTCCAACCTTCCCAAAACAAAACAAAAGGATAGGAAGGATTGGAGGAACTGAGGTACAGACGAATAAACCAAGTATTCCAAAGTCACATGGGAAATATGAGAGAAAACTGTCCAGTCTAGGACCTTGACCACAAGACATGCCTCTCCCCCAAGCCACAAAAGATGCTTTTCCAGCAGTTTCAAGAGACACCAGGTTTGACTGTGGTAACTCCATCTTGGCTTCAATCTAATCACACATGACCTCAGCCTGCAGGAGAGCCCAGGGCTCCAAGTGCTGCTGGCTGCACCAGGCCTGTTCCTGCAGACAAACCTGCTCACTGCCCCTCCCATCACCTCTGGGCTGCACACCTTTAGTTCCTGTGCAGCTCTGTTCAGCTTTGGTGAGTGGGGCAGGAACTTCAAAAGATTTTTTTTTTTTGCTTGAGGAGCAATTTTCACTCATTTCTAGTCACTTCTCTCCATCCCTGGAGGCAGCACAGATCTGTGTGTGGCTCAGCACAAGGCAGTGGCCCCTGGCAGCAGTGTCAGTCACAGATGCCCTCACCCCACAACCTCAGCACTTGCACTGCAGCAGGTTTTCCAGGTTTTATGCAGCTGGACCCTGAGACACACAGGGGAACTGGCTTGTAAAGTTCTTTCTTAGTTTTATTGATTTATTCTATGTCACTTTGCAGCTGAAGCAGTTCTTTCAGTCAGCTCACGCCGCGAGGACGTGCCCAGCAAAGCCATGAGCAGGAGGACACAAAGGAAGAACCAGCAGTTAGGACAGAGTAAGAAGGCAAGTAGCAGTAACAAATGCCAGCACCACCACCAAATACTTTTTCCCATGAAACCACAGGTTGAGACAAAGATACAGAATATTCAGCTAAAAGTGACATTTCACATGTCCTCTCAATCTGCTGCCTGCAAGGCAGGACCAGGTTACAGCAGCTCCCTGTGTGGGCAGTGCTGGTTTTACAATTTACAGCTATCCCAGGGCACTGTCATTTTGTCTCTTCTGCTGACTCATTTTATGACCCAGAGGAGGTTTGTTAGCCTGCCAGCCTGTGGTTTTTATCCTACAGTTGAATGTGGCCCAAAACCTTTGTATATTCACAGAAACCAAAAGTAAAACAAACAACAGGATTTGGAGGAACTGCCATTTCCCCACATTTCTGCCACCTCTCCACTAGAGAGGGGGAACACAAGTCAGGTACCCTCCCACACATCTGAGGGATGGTGGTGACATGAGTGCCCTGGAGCAGCAGCCAGGGCACTGACACACGGAGCTTCCCTGCAGCACGTCCCTGCAGCAAAACCCAGCCTCAAATGACAGGAAGAGTTCAGTAACCTTAATTGTAACCCTTAGCTGCAAGTCACATTAACAGCTGCCTCTGCACACCAGTTATCTCACACACTGACCTATCTGGGGAGCTGCTTCCCAGCAGCACCAGTCCTGCCAGCCGGGGCAGGAGCTGCTGGGCAAGCTATGGGAAATTCTGAAGTCACCCAGAAAATGTTCTTGCAGGTCTGACTGTCATCACATCACCCACCATCAGAAGCTGCACCGAGGTCTGCGAAGAGTGGGCATTTCCAGGGTGTCTGAGTGGCAGTACAGTGACAAGATGACCCCAGGCAGAGGTGCTGGGTGGCCCTGCTGCTCCTGTGAGCTCTCAGGCCACCAGAGCATGCTCCAAACCACCGAGGCTGCCACCAGTGCCCTCACTGCCAGCCCCCTCACTGGTACCCAGCTTAACCAGCTCGCTCTTCAGCAGCAATGTGAGCCCACGTGGCCTCTGCCAGCCCTTAATTTTGACAAATTAACTGCTTGTGTGGCCAAATTGCAGAAGTGATCCTAACCAAACACAAACCGCTGCGTGAAAACGTATTTACTCAAGATCATTTTCTCAACCAGTTTGCTGAGAAGCTGCACAGAATGGGAGGAGGGCATCTTAAGCCAGGACAGCCACCAAAATTTAAGATGCAGACTTTCATGATCAGCTCCATAAAAGTTCTGTCTTGGGCAACACCCCTAAGTATACAACACAGGCTCTAGACAATCAAAACACTCCCTCACATACAGAGCTACCCCCACCACCGCTCCTCCCCTGCCTATCCCAGCTTTGGATATTTCACCACCAGAAACAACTGCAGTCTTTAACAGCTGATAGCTTTGGTACAAACTGTTGTAATCCTTGGCTAGTAAAATAAATTTGTATAGCTCCTTCAAAGCCAAAAATCTGAGGGTCTGTGTCTTCTCCCAGTGAACAATCCCATGCTTATCCAGCAATGGAAGAGCAAATCAGTTAAATCTAAGACCTGCTAGTTCCTTGTTTTCAGTAAAGATAAAACTGTTCTCTTGTCTGCAGGAGTTGTACAGAAGACTATAATCATTTACAGGACCTAAACCACAGCAACACCTACTATTCCTTAGCTTGAAATAACAGTCAGTGCCCAGAAATAGCCCAGAACTCCCTAATACTTCCATAAAAAACATTACCCAAAATAAATCCATACCATCTTACTGAACATTTAAGCAATACACTGAACCTTCTGTCTATTACAGTTCCACTTACAAATGAAGCTGGAATTATTCCTATCTTTGGTGTCATTTACCACCTGAAAAGTATCTGCAGCAGCCAGCTCAGCACAGATCTGTGAACATAGCCAGGGCCAGCGACTGCAGCACACTGATAGCAGCAGGGAGCTCTCCCAGATGTCTGTAAAATATGTCTGGCCACAGAGATGCTGCTGCCCAAGTGCTGCTTTGACATTTTGAATATGTCAGCTCCCCAGGCCAGACATGCTGTCTCACAGGTACCAGCGACAGACAGTTAATGTTTTAACTTATTAACTCCAGGCACACTTATCTTTCAGCCCTGACACCTCAATACAGCACAGCTGCTCCAACACCACTTTCCAAATCTGTGCTTAAGAATGATACATCTGACCAACTCACAGCAAGGGTCAACTGTCCTGCTTTCCTTAATAATTTATTAAGAGCTGGCAGGAGCCATGCCTTTGCTGCGCTGTTCAGTTGTTCTAACAAACTGCACAGTCGGTTTCAGGTGGCAAACAAATTTCAGCATAAAATGCAAATGTGTAAAAAGACAAGGAGTACTACTCTAATGGATCAATATAACTGGGTTTCTCAGAGATGGCAAAGTGTACCGGATGCTGCTGACAAAGATCTTTTCCCCCCATGCCCCAGCTCATCTCACAGCCCCACACACCCTCACTGCTGTGAACCACAGTTTCATGCCCACTTCCTCAGCGGATGCTGCTATGGAAGCCTCCAAGAGGGCACCCCACTAGGTACAGCCTGGGTATGATTTTGAGTCTAATTACACTCATGGGTGTGGGTTATTTGTAGTTCTAGTGATAGAAAAAAAAATAAATTAAAGTGACACATATCCTTATGCAACATTTTAATAAAGCTGGAGGAGTCTATATTTATAGAGTAACCAAGTGTCTTAAACAGCCAGATAAAAAAGCACATGGAAGGAGATGCTAATTCACTTAAGAGTATAATCATTGCATTTATAGGGAAAAAATGTCCTGTCTGACAACTGCTCCAATCGTCATCTGTTATGAGAACAATCTGCCTGAATATTTTCTGACACAGGACACGATGTAAAAAACCAGCAGGAAGACCCTGACCAAATGCATGATCAGGCTCATTTGAAGTCTCCAGACAAGTTAACAGAAGGAAATTAAAGCCTGTACACAATAAGGAACATGTTTCAAAGTTACAGGAGCAGCTGAAGAGAAGAGGGCAGGGCCAGTTTCAAAGCCGAGGTGGGCACTGCTAGGCTGTGAACAGAAATCAGCCAGTCAGCACAAGGGCTGTATGCTGCACTTGGAGCTATCACAGGTAAGAGAGCTGGAAATCCACATCAAAGCACTTGGAAAACAGAGAGACACGGTGGTGGGCCAGCTTAAGTGGTGGGGTTATTGGCATAACCCCAATAACAACAACAACAAAAAGCAAGCACATTTTCACCAGATTTTGCACAGCACACAGAAAAAGGCACCCATGCAGTCATCCTCAAAGCAGAGCCACGCTGGGGAGTCATCAAATGGTGCTGGGAGCAGCAGCTCCAGGTCTGCACCCTCCTGAAGCCTTCTGCAACCACCCAGGGCCCTCCAGAGAGGGGCACAGCCTGGCACAGAGCTGCGGTCACGCCCTGAGCCTTTCCATCCTGCTATTCTCATGAGAAAGATCTTGCAAAAGAATAAACTGAGGATACCAAGAGGCTAGGAACACAGCCCTGAGTCTTTCCAGAGGGAATGGGAAAAGACAAGGGAGAGCTTTTTTAGCTGTAAGAAAATCCAACTAAAAAATCTTGAAGGTAACAGAACAAGAAGCAGCCTATATAGCTTCATACAGAAAAAAGTCTGCCAGACAAATTTAATTGCTTTATTTGTTCTTTGATAGAGTTACAGAGAGAGTGGATTAAATGAACAGAGCAGAGGTTATATTTTCTGGATTTTCAGGACAGCATCTGTGTCTCACTAAATCCTAATTGAAAAATTAATTCAAAAAGACTTGGGAAGGGGCGAGTACAGCACTGGAATTGAGAACTGGCTGCAGGACTGTAAACAAATTATAATGATAAATGGCACTGGATTGAGCTGAGGGGAGGTCATATTGAACAAACTCATTAATGACCTGGAATGAGGATTAAAGAGCACAAAAAAAATAATCGGATGGTTGCATTAAAGCTCGATTTTGTCTGAGGGGTACAAGGCTGCCCTAAGGTGAAGAGGACATGTCCAGCACCAGGATCTTGCTCCCAGACCCTTGGCAGGCAGGTCTGGCACACTCCAGCCACAGCTGCCTGTCATCCATCGCCCTCATCCTGACCACACAGCGCTGCACATCTCCTTCCCCCGCTGGCCACCCTGCAGAACAGAACTTTGTGCTGCCCAAGAGCCAAACCAGACGTGTGGCAGCAACGCAGCTCTTGGCACGTGCCAGGAATGCAGGAGTGCGCTGACAAGAGGAAGGCTGAGACCTCCCATTCAAGCACAGCCAGGAAAAGAAAATTCCACCACTAAAAATAACACAAATGCCTTAAATCCCACCAAGCTGTGTTTTTGTGATCTCCCTGACACAGCTTAAAAAATTGTGGGGTTATGGATTAAAGTCCCTGATAAATCCATTTAGGACCAGACACTTCTGCTGCATGAACTTACTACATTCCAGTCTTTATGACAGGGGAGGAGAAAAGAAACAAACAAAAACTCTGAACCCAAAACAACAGATATGCCAAAAAAATCCTGACCAAACAAACAACTCTTTTAAAAAAATTTGAATGAAATTTTTAACAACAGAATTTGGAAACACTGATCTTTAAATTATTAAATAGGTAATTGACTTTTTTAAAGTACAGCTGCTGATTTTCAGCTTTGGAAGTACTGAGGGCTTAGCACTAGACTTTGAGTTTTATCAGTAAGCCACAGGAAAAAATAAAGAATATGCAGGTAGAACAGCAGTTTTGGCTCCCTTATGCAGTTTTCATGCCAGAACTAAAACATATTTTTCCCAAATAACAGGACCTATCCATCATTTTTATTATCAGCCTGGATGCAGATCCAAGTTTCATCACTTGGTAAGTTAGAAAAACTCTCATTAGCATCTGTGTGTGTAGGGAGCCCATAAGAACACCTCATTAACTCATTAAAGAGGATTCTCACAGAGATTAGCTTTGTCAATCCTTCATTTAGTTACCAATCCATTCATGTGATGCTATTAAGCCCCTCATAAACAGCCAAGTACTTAGTAATACACTGCAGGAGCTCAGGTTTGAACCCTATACTGGTGCACACTGCTACTGTATTTGTGCTGCACCACTATGAAAATCACTGCAGCCCCAAAGGATTGTTTATTTCCAACTGTTGAGCTGGAGCCAACATGTTGTACTAAGATGGGACCCAGTAACAGTGCCCAAACACCATCATTTCAAACCGTTCTTAAACAAACCTTGCTCCACATCACACATTTGATGACATGATGAGAAACATGCACAGGCATAAGAAAGGGTTACAGTAATACAGTGCAAAGCAACTGCTGATCATTGCCTGAAAGGGGAAGCAGTCAGTGAGGAACCTCTCATCTCCATCCTTAATTTCATGTTTTTCTTCTTTTCTTTCCCTCTAACCCCTCTCCTGTGCATCACTGCTGTCACACCATCTGCACTCTGTTTTCAATAAGCCACCTCTGCATAAACAGTACATCTGCCTCTGCCAGGAGAGGCTCCCTCTCTCTTCTGGAACAGGATTCCAGCACTGCTTTGGCTCACTACAGTCACAATGATTACAGAGAGGCAAAATCTGCCACTTCCACATATCAGACAGGTATTGTGTGTTGGTAAACAGCAATTGTCATCCAGATGGCCCTACAGCAGCTCCATTTTGCACTGGCCTTCAGATGCCATGGTGACAATTGCTCATGTAAGAACATGACCATGAGTCCTTTGATTCCTGCCAAAGCATCTCCACTCCCTGCACTGCACTCAGTGCTGCTTCACACGGGGAGGTGTCAGGGGGTTTCAGCCCATCTAAATTCATAACTTTTATACAGATGCACAATTTTATTTTCAAGCTGAATAATTCAAACAACTTTAATTCATTCCCATCTGCTTAAATAAAACAGATTTGTAAGATCCTAATTAGCTTGTATGTCCATAGTACTCTTCTTACCAAGAGCATTGGGTTGGTTTTGGCTGTGGCTGTGCATAAAAGCCCCACAACTCTTTACTGCAACTCACTTAGTATCATCTCACAAACACTCAGCTCAGACCTAGCAACTGCTCTGTCCCATCCAATCCACTCTGGAAAACATCAAACAATCTCTGTTACTGGAGGATAACCATGGCAGCTTGCAGGATGTGCAGGGGAGGGCCAGCTGCCTGGGACTGAAGCTGTGTGCTAAGTGGCTTCCCAGATTTCAGGAACTCAGACAAAAGATGCTATTAATGGCACTTCAGGCTGGAGGGGGGAAATCCTTGAATGTAAAGTTTCAAGTCATTGCACATTGACGAAGAGGAGTAAACAACAAGAAAAACTTGGCCACAGTAAAGGATTTTGTGAAGGGAACTCCACAGCTTGATAGTATCACAAGCACCCTAGGAATCTGGAGAATGAGATGGGAGAAACTGTGGGGACACTGAAGTTAAAAACTGCAAACTGCATGGTTCATTTTCCTGTAATTCCTTTTATTCATTGCTATAATCAACTTGACATGCAAAGCTGTTCCCAATTTACTGACAGCTTTTCAGCTGACATCTAGTTCTCAAGGTATTTTTTTTTTTTTAAACTTAAATAGCTAATTATTCATCGCCTTAAACCAGGATATATAACAATGTCAGGAAATCATCTGTTCAAGTTATATCAAAAAGCCTTTGGGGATTAGTTCATCTCTTTTGTATGCTGCAGAAAACACTCACTTGTAAACAATTAAATCATCATTTGAAATCTGTCTACACTTTTAGCATCTCTGAATGTAGCATGAAAAGCTATAAACAAGTACCACATTGTTGCATCTAGAACCCAGGGCTGAAAGGTTTTCCTCCATAGTATCTTATTTGGTGGACTTTGAGGGCTTAATACAGGCTCTAAATAAATAACATCTAAATAAATGCAACAGCTGCTTAAGGAGACCAGAGTTACACTATTCTCAGGTTATGCTGAGAGGAGAAGACATGCCACGAGGATATCAACACATTTTGGCACAGAGGCACTTGACCTCCATGTAACAGAGTCATGGCTGATAGAAAACAAGCATTTAAATTTAGCCATAAAAGTTCAGCCTTTGGCCTGAATCTACAGTAATCACACCTCAGAGTACCCTGCAAAGTTACTGCACACCACACATTAGAAGAAACTGAGGAACATCACTGGAGCAGAAGCATTTAAAACTGGTTTTAGAGTCCTTTTTGAAATTAGTCTGTTTCTTTTTGGTCTCCTACTGACTCCTTGACTGCATTTTTAAGGGCTGTAGCTTTGTGGAATATAAATGTAAGCAGAACATTCCATAGGAAGAAGCTCCTTTATAAGCTGTCTTGGGCTGAGCACTGCAGCAGAAAGCCTGGAGAGAGCTTGTTTGCACATCTCTTTACAGCTGTGCAGATGCAGCCTGAGAGCTTCCATCACCACCCCTGAAAGACAGCAGTAGCATTCCACAAGTATTGAGATGAAAGGGAAACTTGTTGTTACTGCTTCACTAATTGTGTGATTTCGTGGCTGTAGTACCTTGATAAATGTTTTGGCTAATTCATTTGAATCACTTCTTATGATATAATTGCTGACCCAGTCAAGAGAACAAAACAAAACAAATTATCTTCCTTATTGAATGAAAGCCAAGTAGGTCCTTGTGAAACTACAACTTCCTTTCAGATAGTGGAAGAAAACACACAGCCTTATAAGAGCACACAGACAGAGGGGATTCAGCCAGCACATGGCTGTTTGAGAGAGGAATTCCTCCACAGCCAGGACATCCGCTGAGATGGGATCACGGAGCCCTCGCCTCTCTGGCACTCAGGGTGCCCTTGGCCACAGAAACGGGCCATGGGCACTTTCTCCCAGTAACTCAGTGCCCAGATATGGGACAGTCAGTTACTATGGTGGAAATCAAAAATATGACAAGACAGGAATGACTTTTACAGATTTCAAGGGTGCTTCCCAACATTGTGTCCTCAGCTGGACAGAAAAATTCACCTAGAACTGAAGGCAGAAGGGTTGAAGCCAGTCCAGAGGAGAGGTTTGGGTTTATTGTTTGTTTCTTTATGACTGTTTGTAGGTTTTGTTTGTTTGCTTATTTGATTTTTAACTAAAACTGAAGAGTACATCAGTTTCTGACATGGTAACTTCAAGTAAATCAAAATGGAAACTAAACTAGTGAGAAGCTGTAGGCAGGTTCTCACCCAAGCATAAGGAAAAGTTTTCTATTTGCTGGAACAAACCAGAACTTCTGAGAAGAATGCAGACTGATCTTCCAGGCTTAGTAAAATATATAATTAAAAGAATATGCTACATGTACAACATCTCTTTTCTTGAAGATACCATCACTGATCTAAAGCATAAATAAACACTGTTGCTCTATCAGAGGCAGATAATTTACTGAACATTACACTGCTAATGGCAATATTATACAGGACACAAGTGTTTCAGACAAAAAAATAAAAACCTGAGGAAGGTATTTCTCATTCTAACAATTCTGCAGCTGACAGGTGACTGCTGGGCTGCAGATAGGAAATTCAGTTTTATCTAAGAGGAAACATACCTCAGCTCATTCTTTTGGTCGTTTCCGAGAGCAACAGTTCCTTTAAGTAAAGTCAATGAATATCAAACACTTTTCAAACTATAAATAACAAGATTCCTGTATTTGAAAAATAATGTAAGTTTTCAACATTATCCCCCTTATAGAGTAATTATATTTTTAGAGGTAACAAGTTTTAACATACAAAATTTCCACAGCAAAATCTGTCAATGTAATCAACAGTGTTCAGTTCTTTCTAAGGAAATGGCTTTATTTTTTTTAAACAGACTACTAATTAACCTTTAAAAGAAGACCTTTAATTTATTGGTATTATTTTGACGGAAACTGAAAATTTCAGGGGAAACAAACCATAAATCTACTTGAATATGAGACAACACTGCTCCTCCCCTGTCATGTATATATGTTTGAGCTGACACTGCTCATGCCTATCACATGATACAGATACATACCATATCACATCAGAATTTGACTTTGGGGATGCTTTTAATTTGAATTTAAAAAGAGCAAGTCACCACAACTGACTTTGGAAAGGGCATAAGGGGTAGGTTTGTAAAGAAAGGATCATCAAA